CACTTTAAAAGCAATAACATATAAATATAACAATACATATAACAATATAATATAATAATTCATCGCCTCCTTCCTAAAAGTATCAGATTTCTAAAATTATTAGGCCACAACTTCTTAAAACAGTTCTGCGTTACAGACCATTCACCAGATCAATATTAATGATAAAGAAAATTTATTGCCACTGGATTCCATTGATATTGGTGCAGAAGCATCAAACAGTATTATTGAAGAACTAAAAAATACAGAAGACGTAGAAAAAATTAAGAAATTTTATACGATATTCAGATATTTTATAAAATAATAGAACGATAGATCGTTCCCGCGGTAGAGATTCGAAGGAAAAGGAAGCAGTTAGTTTTGTTTAACGTAACTACTTGTATATCTTGCTGGTAATTACTTTTTATAATATAAGCTAGTGAAACTAAATAAATTCTCGTCTCTGTTACGTTAGTTGGAACATATGAAATAATTAAAAATGTGTCAATTCACATCATTTTTATTCACACTTAGACCATCAATCATAAATTATTACGTCTATAAGCAATGATCCCTTCAATGACTGTATGTGCAATAGTAAAAATGTGAAAAAATCGTTCAGAACTATAATGGGTGTAGAAAGCATTCAGATATCTTTTAAAATGTAATGACTCTTCCACTATTAGACAAAACGACATAATTCTGTGTGGGATATTAGAAAGCTTAGTTTACTATGTAATGTTTTAAAAAATGTTCATTGATCGAAAACGTGGAAAAAAGAATTAAATGTTACATTTTTAACTTTTTTCTTAGGGTCTCTGATAAAAATTTGAAATATTCCGTTTCTAGATGTACATCCTATTCCGTTTCTAGGTATACAAGGTGCTGTCTACACCCACTATAAACATTTGGTAAGATCTTTCACAGGACATTATTGTTGGCCAGTGTTTGGTTGCTTAAGAATTATGTACCCACTTATTAATTATCGCCACTTAATTACACCACAGAAAATATGATCTTTCTCTTAAGCATAATGGGATGGTGGCATCGTCAAATCTTGCAACGCAGTTATCTGTTCTTCTGTGAAATGTTGCATATACTCTTTTACACGTTTCCATCCCTCGTGTGTTCTCCTAAAGTCATCCAACGTTTTTTTAATTGTCATCTGTAAATGAGAGTAATTTTGTTAATGATGATTCCGAGAACTCACACTAGGGTAGGCTTTTTCGGTATCGCTTATTTGACTGATGTCCTCTTTTCCAGTGCAATATAATCGTCGTGTTCGGGTACGTTGCTCTATTAGCATGCAACTTCTGTACCGAATTCGAGTAAGTGCCTACCGAATTCTACATTAGACATCAGTCTACGCGTTCGCGTGTCTCGAACAGATTGCGTTTATTAATAATACTAACTGGTATGGGTTGCGGATCGTTCATGTGAGGGCTGAGGTATTCAAATATAGGTGGAATATATTTTGGAATATCATACGGATGTGCCTGTACAAACGCACACATTCCTATTATCGCCGCATGACGAATACGCAGTGCGTCAGTTTTTAGACTGTTCTGCCCACCATTCTTTGAACGGTCTTTCTTGTACAATTTCGTCTTAGCTCTCTTCTTGAACTCGTCCTGAAATAACGAGAGAATCTCGTGTACTATCCTCTTATCGTAAACTTTTGATTTTTTAAATAATTACTGTAATTATGTTGCTCAGAACAATTATCATATCACGAAATTTGTGTCTGAAAATCATCGTCCTACGATAATTTTTCTTTAAAACTTGGGCAATTTTCGATACAAATTCCGCAATACCATAATTATTTGAGGAGTATATAATGTCGGCTGTGAAGAATAGTGTATTTACCAGTAAACGTTCCTGGTCGGGTATGAACGTGCAGTGTACTAATCCGCTGAGGACTTTACCCGCATGCTTCCGAACTTCCACACGATCATCTTCTAACAAACGTAAAACCGTTTCTTCGACGAATGTGACCCAAGTTGGATTGCTCAAAAATATGCCCATGTTATAAAATACCCACGCTTGAATAAACTCCAAACAGGAATATCTCGTCCACCAAGACGCGTGCCTTGACATTTTATCCACCGCTTCTACGGCTATCGGCATTGAGGAGGGTACCGTGAATGCTTGCGTGTAAACCGTCAAAGCGGTCGTGCATAGCTTTCTCAATTCATCGTCCGCTTCGTAGTTCTCCATTTGGTATATAATTGGAAATATCTGATAGAGCTCCGTTGGCAAACCGTACCAAACGTGATTCATATGCAGAACCCATTTGCACATTGTCTTTAGCAATCGAATCGCCTTTTCCTTTTCCTCTTCGTTCATCCCCGGTACACGTAGACCGTTGGACTCGTCACTTTCGACGGACACAGGAGCGATTTCCGCGTTCTTGTTAAGTTCCGCCGCTTTCTCGTTAACGAGAGGCTGCAGCTTCGGTATTATTTTATCAATAAAGTCTTGTATCCGCGGCAGCAACAGATTATTCACGGTGTTAAAATTCGTCGTGCTCGAATTGAATACGATTACTAAACTGGTACTCAGTCGTTCTCTTACGTTTTCGAATGGGTTCGCAAATAATCTGTCCTCGATCCGCCTCAGCAAACGTTGCAGCAATTCCAGAACTCGCCACGACTGTATGCCAAGAACCGTTTGCAGAGTTAACAAACGTCCGCATTCGACAAAAGAGGATTCCGACTCGCCGACGCAAATCTCTTCCATCAGACATTCGAGCAACCAATGGTGCCTGTTCGGATCTCTATTCAGCTGGGCTTCGGAGAAGCAACGAACCCAATCCATAGTTGTCTCCGGTGTCATATTAGCTAAAGCAAGCCTTACAATAGGTAGCAAAGAATCCCACATTTCGCTAACCATATCGAATGGCCAATGTTTCGAACCCTTAATGATCCCACAGATCAGTTCCGCCGCACATCTCTGGCTACTCTCTTGTTTATCCGTCACAAGCTTGCGCAAGTGTGGCAAAAAATGTTTTAGGAACACGATCCCGTGATTCCGGAACAGATTCTTGAAAAGCAGACATTTGAACGGAGCGAATTTGTCTTTATCTTTTTTCATTTCTAGACTGTAATATTTGATGAGTTTCTCGATGTTTTGCACGTCGTTGAAAAATGCGACGATCTCCTTCTCCTGATCCGTCATATCTCGATTCGGATCTAAGGACGGCTGCTGAGACGAAGGTGCATAAATTTCAATTTTTTTCGGCCAGACGAAATATCCCACGAACGGTCGATGTACGAATCTGGGTGCGTCCCATTGTTCCGCAGTTAAAGGCCGGGTTTCATAATTATATTGAAGCCAATTATTGTCTGGTCTGGGCCCCAGCATATTCCTGATCGATCGTTCCTCTAACGGTATATCGTTTCCTATCGACGGTGGATCGATAGTTATCTTAGAATTAAAAATGAGATAGTTATCTTAGAAGAAAAAATCTTAGATGAAAAATATCAGTGTCGATAAGAAAACAAATTGTTTCGTTAAATTACTTTACCTTTGGATGTTTCCTTTTTTGTTGTTCTAAAATATTTATGACTACCCGTAGAGCGACGTCTCTTTCGCAGAAAGAATCGTGTATTAACGTTCCCAGAAAGTACCGAACCACCTTCGGTGAATATATTTGTTCCGGATGGACCATGTATTCAATAAAGTCTATTGCCATTAAGCTGCGTCGCCAATGTAAATTCTCTGTCAAAAGCACGTTCAGCAGATCGTTTATCAAGCCGTTGTAAGATGTCAAATTATTCTCGTTTAACTGCTGCGTGACTACGAATCTTTCCATACATGAATTTTCATCGGGTATTGACGAATTCGGTCGTGGCTCGGTCTCCCATAATGCAGTTGCAATTTTGAAACACGTACTTGGTATTTCGTGCTTAATAGGAACCGTTGCGAGCTCCGAAGCTATGGTCTTCACTATATTTTCTTTCAAACGTATTATAGATAGCTTTTCAGACGGTTTAGAAAGTACCATGGCCGACAATAAATCTCTTATCGTAGACCAATCGTCTTTCGTGATGAATTGATTAACTATAAGACTCAAAAAAATGCTTAGAGCTCCCTAGACAACAAAAATCACACAGTAATTAGCGAGAAATCTTGTTAAACGTAAACCATTCATCAGTGGCTATGCGTTTGTACCTCGTAAGCGTTCTCGTCTGTTTCCGGATCCATTTTTAGCGTATCACATAACTTTGGCACGATAATTTTCCAGGAATATGGTAACTGGTGAAAAATCGAAATGAGGATGGACTTAGCACTACATCCCAGACTAGCAGTTGACCTTCTGGTAACCAATGATACGAATTTTAAGATTATCTCCTTATGGGTTTCGTTCAACGTCGAGACTCGTGAACATAAACGCATTATTTGTTGACCTTCTGCGTGTTGCAACACGAAACACGCCATAACACCCTTTTTTCTTATTAACATATCCTTCATCCTTCTTTGAAAACACTCTATATTTTTGTATCTCACGCGGGCGAAATCCATGTACGACTCACATTCGGAAAAAAGAGAGCACCAAACCTGAAAAATTTATATAATTTTTCATTTTTGCCGACGATCATGGTAGCGAGTATTTGAATAGGCTTTAACGTACTTTTGTTAGAGAGACTAAACATTTTGTATCGGCCTCCACATTTTCGAGTATCACGTCGTGTAATTTACTCGCGAGCAATTGGATATAACGTTTCACGTGACTACCGTCGGGCATCAAAATCTCTTCTTCCACGCCAAGCGTTGGCTTGAAAGATGTACATTCTATTGATGATTTCATTAAATTTAATGGCTTTCCTTCCCACACGGGTAAAATCGATTCGCAACCCTCGATAACGCTACACATGATGTTTATGCTAGCCAGTAACTCCTCCCTAGTCAGCGTGGTTGAGTCTTTACAGTACTCTTCTAATTTCTTCGTCTCGGGAATTAAGTATTTTACAAACATACGATTTATAACAGCCATCTCCTCCTTGCCGGGTTTATACCACTTAACTTTTATAGTGTCAGTATGCAGGACCTGGCCCCAATATTCGATGTTAATGGTAGACGTAAATTCGTACGGCATCATAGTGCATAGAGAACGGAAAATGGTACTTAGTAATCTACAAGCTAAGTTATTTCCTTCTATCGATTTTAAGATCACAACGCGGTCAAGAATTGTGATTAATATGTCGATGTGAGGTAATAAATTGTTCCCCGTCGTATCAACGATTCCTGATAGAAGCAGCATCGCGTGCAGCAGGCGAGCATCTAGATGCTCCTCCCTAACGATATCGTTGCTCTCGCCGATAATATCCATAATCGTTTGCGAAAGTACTGGCAGCAATGCCCGTAACGTTTGTTTTCCGTTGACTCTGGCGAACACTTGACACAAGGAGACCGTCAGTTGCCCGGCAACTTTTATCTCGAGTGTACGTTCGATAATAAATGTGCGCAGTTTATCCAACGCGTCCGCAAATATCGTTTCGTTGAGCTGCATCAGCAGGACTCTGCACACGTGATACAGTACGATCTCCGCGAACTTCTCTAATTTACTTTTCTCGCCGCCGGCAGAATTTTCAAGTCTGACCAATTCCAGTGAGCTATTATCTATGAAATAAAATATCTTGTCGAGGAACTGCAATACGAATTCTTCGAAACCTGACACTATGTCATAATCCAGTCTGTCCTCTTCATTTATCGTTGTGATCGGTCTGGAAGTATCCACGATAGGTATCAGACAAGCGTAAACCGAAATCAGTCGAAGCGCAAGGAAACACTTTTCAGGAGTGTTCGGATCGATGCTGGGTAAAATCAAAGAGAGTAATGGTACGATATGTGTCGGTCCTTCCGCATAGCAGTACTCTACAAAGAAAGAAATGATTAGAATGAAGAATGACGAACATACAGGGTGAGGCATCTAACTTGACCACCTCGAATGACTTCTAAATTATTATCTTATACGGATCAAACTTTCGTTAACATCTCGTTAATTATTAACTTTAGGACATACAATGTTTACCACTTTACACTTGGGATTTGATATGCAATTTTTGTAGAAACCATTTTTTGTACAACGCATAATTTAGAAGTTATTCGATTACTTAAGTGCCTCACCCTACATACGACGAATGAAACGCACCCTGATTCACGATTCTAAATCCTCTTGCAAGCGGCCTGGCTATAGCTTGCATACAATTCAATGTCGCGATCAACTTGTGCGATTCCGTTGTAGCGGAATCCAGTGTATAAGATACTCGATCCAAAACGTACGGAATAACCAAATTTGGTCTCATAGTAGCAAGATTCTGTAAGGTTTCGGTAGCATCGATAACGCTCATCTTGTTAAATATCGCTATCATAGTTACTGGCAGCATGCACTTAACAAAAGCGTCGACGTCGCTCTCGGTCAGCTTGTATTCTTCCGGAACAGGCGTTTCCCAAGTTGGCTCAGCGTAACGTTCCCTGCAATACGAACAAAATTTCATGAGCGCACGCGATTACACGATATGAAAAATTACGATCGATTCGTACTTATAGAGCCGCGTGATGAAATGATGCGAGAGCTTCACAAGAATCCGCGTTAACTTTACCATCCAGCAGCCGCTATTTGCAGGATGAAAATATGTCTCTATCGTTTTCAAAAATTTCTCGAGATGCATTTGAGCGCTTGAACCATGACCCTAAAAACATTTGAAGAGTCATGAGATGATATTTCCATCGGACGTATTTATGTTCACTTACCAAAACTGCTGTTATCCACAACGTCATCGACGACGGGTCCACATCGTCATGTTTAACTTGAAGTTTATTGTATGAGACTGGTAGTCTTAAGGATCTTATAAATCTGGTGAACATCAATGGAATGTGAGGTTCCCAGTTAATATAACCGATGTTGTTCGTAGCTAACGCTGCCATTACTTCTATGAAATCATCGTGACACTTATGCCCATTTTGACAAAGTTCCCTTAATTCCATAAATTCTTCGAACCACAGTTGATGCCCAACGGAATGATGTTGAGGAGGTAATTGCAACGGTAAAAAGCATTTTAACACCTCCACCTTATGAGCCAACGTCATGCCGCGGATAGAGCATAATAAAGTCGGTTTCAATTCATCTAATATCTCCTGCGTCGCGCTTAACTATCGTAAGAAATTAAATAATATTAAGATACACTAAATAATACTAAATATTTAATAAAACAATTCGATAAATTAATCAAGAAAAATCGTTCGCTTACAGGAAAGTAATTTTTTACATAAGGAATAAGCATTTCTATTCCCTCCTCATAATAAGGAGGAAAACGGTACATGTCTGGGTGGACCTTATCAGTTTCGGTTATACGAAGAGTAATATTGTAAAGAGGTCTCCAGGGAAGTTGCAAATCATCAGGAGATATCAATTTCTTTTTCCTACAAGAACAACAAGCTGTGAATGATTATACATAAAGCGATCTACACGACTCAAAACAAATTATGATATCAGGAAATTTGTGACGAGAATTACCCAAGTTTGGAGAATGATAACTCATCAATAACTTATCGTAGGACGAACTTTTTTTGAAATGAAAACTTGAAACCTATCTACTTAAAAATTCTATTCGAAGATTTTCGTTTTGATACATTCCTACAATCGACAATGATCACATCTAAACGCATGTTTAAAATTAAAAAATTAGCGAATTCTGGCAATGTATGCGGACTTGAATAATTTTTTTCTATAATGTCGTTTCTGGCAAATGAAAGCTTAATTCTTTCCCTTTAATTGAAAAGAAAAATTGAGTTTCTATGATTTTTTTCTCGACGTTACAGCGACTTAAGAAAACCCAGAAATTTACACCCTTACACGACTTATGCGTTCGGAGACTCGATTCCGGAACGCAAATCCACCCCAAACATAATTTTAACCATTACGTAATCTCATTCTAGCACACAATCCTGAAATTTTAAACAAACAAAAATTTCAAGTCTCTAGCTCATCGGGAGATTACTTCAAAATCAATTACAAAATTTGTACCGAACAAACAGACAAGAAAGTGAGCTACTAAAAACATAGTAAAAATATGCAAGTCCATGCACATTGTCAAACTTTTCTAGTTTCCGAATTTTAAATATGTTCTTAGGTTTAACCATTGTCAGTCATAGAAGTGTATCAAATTAAAAATCTTTGAATGGCATTTTAAAACAGACGTTTGAAGCTATAATTTAAAAGGAATATCATTGTCCTACAATAACTTGTTGCTGAGTAATTATCTTCGAAACTTGACAAATTTTTGCCACAAATTCTGTGATACTGCAATTCATTTGAATAGTGTATTTACGAGTAATTGAAACTCACTTTAGTAATCGGATTAGGACATAAAGAGATATGCATGTAGTGTCAGATGGTATTTCTGTGCCTGTAAGAAGCTCATATAACAGCTTTATCAACAGGATGTGCTCCTCTTTGGAAAACGCTAATCCATATATTTTAATGTAACTGTAAAGAAAATAATCATTTTTATCAGTAAACAATAAACAATACAAAAACGTGTACTCACTTGCATAGATTGTTGAGCCACAGGTAGCAGCCTGGCAATGGTTCATTAAATAAAACAGCTCGCCCTAAATTCGCCTTGATTTCAGCTAACAAATTTTCCGCCTCCTTCGGTAAATCATTTGCGTACGGCAATAATTTGTAGCTTTTAAATTTATTAAATCGAAGATCATCGATACGATCGTGCAGGAAAGATGCACGATTTAAGATATTCATGTTCATTGTCACTTATAACTGTCTCATCACTTCGAATCGAACGAATGCAAGTAGACACGGCGTACTAACGAAACCGATGCAAAATCATGTGTAATGTATTGAGTCAGCAACAACTTGCGCTTTCTTCTCCTTCCTTTTTATCGAGTCACTATTTGTTTTGCATTTTAGGTGGCCATATTTCGGAACATGTGGGAACATGTTTTTACACAACAAAATCACTATAAAAACCTAGAGACAGACCCAGTCAGACAAATCTGCAAATGGCAGGATTTCGGTAGGTTTGATGTCAATCCCTGACATCAGCATCTGACGGCAATCTGGCAGTAGAATGACTGCAGACTGCTCGCCATCTGCCTCCAGATGCTGGTGCCAAGCCCGTCGCCAGTATGGTAACAGAGTAACGCCAGGTCTGATGTCAAGCCTGTTTCCAGAATGATTGTAGATTGTCGTCAGACCTGCCGTCACATCTGGCTTCAGACTGGCGGCAGATTTACGTCAGGTCCTGCTGTCGCAAACAGGGTGTCCCAAAATGCACACTGTCGGAGGACAGTCGTGCATTCTGGGACACCCTGTATAGTGAATCGCGCGATAAATGACCTGCCCAAGTTAGCCATTTGAACAATTATATATAATTTATAGATAAACAGCCAGCATAACAGCCGCCAAATCTGATGCTATATTTCGCAAACTTGAATTTTAATCTGTTAGTAATAACCTCGGTGATAATACCCAAATGTACTGATGTATAAACACTAAAAGATTATGATATCTAATATAATACGTATACTATAATATTGAATGATTATACATATGTATTTAGTGTCTTTAGTGATACAGTAAATAGTATATTATAATAATTTATATTTTATTATTATACACAGGAATTCGGAGTCCGAATTTCGGACGCGTCCTGTCCTGTTTAGTTGGTNCGAATGTTATATGCATGGATGAATCTTACGCGAAATTCTTTTGTAATTATGTTATCACTAATAGGTTCGAGGAAAACAAGAAAAAAGAATACATAGAAAACAATTCAAAACCTAACCTAACCTTTTTTTAAAAAGTTCCTTTTTAACCGGAAGGTTAGGTTCCACGGACCTGCCTGGCTGATGTCAGGTGGGCGGGGAGACAACCCCGACGTGGCGCGTCCCCGGGTGGCGGATAGGGAATGCTCGCTGTACCGGTGGCCCGGCCTTCGGGCCAGGGTTGAGATATTTTTACCCACGACGCTCGCTTCCCCTGTTTTTCGCCCGTATTTCGATCCCCACTACTGTTCCCCTCATGCGTGCTCATGCGCGTTCGCGAAGCTCTCCGCAGCGCTACCGTGAAAATCACTGCATACCCCCACCAACTATTGGTCCCCACCATGGTCGCGTCGTCCCCACTTTCCGCTTGCACGTAAAGTTACGAGACGAGAGACGAGAGACGAGGACGAGATCCCTGCCCCTGCCCCCTGCGCGTCCTGTTCAGTTGGTCACCAACTATCGCGCCCGTCGGACGGGTCGGACGCAGCGTGCTCATATTTTTTCCCTCGGCCGAAAAGTGGGGACGACGCGACCATGGTGGGGACCAATACTTGGTGGGGGTATGCAGTGATTTTCACGGTAGCGCTGCGGAGAGCTTCGCGAACGCGCATGAGCACGCATGAGGAGAATAGTAGTGGGGATCGAAATACGGGCGAAAAAGAGGGGAAGCGAGCCTCGAGGGAAAAAATATGAGCACGCTGGTCGGACGTGTCATTGCATTCGAGAAGTGGGAAAGGTGACAATATAAAGTAAGGGCAGAGAGAAACTGAGAGTGCTCATGGAGCCGTTTTGGCGTCTCCCATACTAGTGCTGCACCTTGCGGCCAACTGGGGAAGATGGTCCACCTTTAGCATGTAGCAGAACCTTTGTAGGAGAAATCTACCCTGTTCGGTTCCACCGTAGCACAGGCCAGAATCAGGGCCAGGTCCACCGTAGCATATACACATTATAGGCAGTACCAGGCAGTATGAAGATGGGATATAGGAATATATATATATGTCGAATGGGAATCGTTCGCTCGAGTGATAGCCGCAATAGCTTTGACGGACGAGCAAGTTCGCTGAAATACAGATGGACCGTTCATTTTGAAAGTCGTGCAAATCCATTTTCCCATATATGTTAATTATGTCAAGTCGGGAGATGTTTCTACTAATTTAACAATATGTAACTTGATTATATAAAAATACAAATTTTACTCGCAGAACCGCAGGTCAGGAAGTACACAGGGTAATGAAATTAAACGCAAGACAGATTTAATATGAAATTCGACATTTATTCAATAATTTTTTATTATAAACATCGGTCCGCGGCCGCGTCTTAAATCGACACTTTTAGCCGAGTGGATGAAATTTGTGTGCGTGCTGATGCGTCAGTGAAGCGAATTTTAAATTCGGCCGTCTTCGGACATATTCGGAAAGAAGGTCGGAAACTTCGGTGCTGATTGCGTGAATCGAGCGCATCTGAAAATCACGGTCTCCTCTCCTCGAGGTTCGAAGTCTTCCAGGCTCGGCTCGGAGCCTTCGAAGCTCCGTGTGTTCGAAACCCAGGCACTTCACTTTTTTTTGTTTATTCGACAATTTACATAGTCGATGTATGCACATTGAATGGGGCAGAGGGAATCTACTACAACGGAAAATGTTTTTTAAGTTGCAGGTTGCAATAACAATGAAGAAATAAAAAGCCGGATAAGATGGTAAAATGTGCTCTTGAAGGAAATTCAACTTGCAATAAGCCATTCGATAGAGTGTCCAAAGCAAACGTCTTGTGCCAATTTTCAACCCTCTGTCTCAATCCGGAGGGTACTTATGGGGGTTAATCAGATTTAGCGGTTTTGCCATATTTCTCTTAATAAAGGTTTAGCCAGAAATCTGAAAAAATTCGCACATGTTCGTAAGACGGTACTCGAAATTAGAGAATCTTTTCAGATCTTTTCGTTGCGTAGTTTGGTCGTGAAAAATAAAAAATGCATAAATTAATGCTGATTTCATATAGAAATTGTCACGATTCGACATCATTTATATTTTTATGGTAGACGTGCCTCAACC